AATGCCTTGAGCTCTTTCTTCCTTTCTTTGCCCATCATTTTCCACCTCCTGTCTCCACCTCTCAGAGGTGCTAGAATTAATGATATATGACTCCAAGTACTGAGATTAAGGTGTGACCCCACCACCTCGGCTGTTTCTCTTTTGAGCTGGATCAGATTTGCTTAGCCCAGGGTGGCTGCCTTTGCCTCCACAGTGCCGGGATTAAAGTTGTGTGACCTAACTGCCTACCATCTATGGTTACTAGTGTGGCGAGCTCTCACTCTAATCTTCAGGCAAACTTTATTTGTTGGATCACAAACAAAATATCACCACAGTCCCCACTTAATTTGGATCCTAAGTGGTAAGTCGCTTAGAGGGAACTGAGAACTGGGCGGATCCATAAATTTGGAACAGAAATGGAACTACACTCAGGCATGGTCTTATTTCTTCAGGCTGTGAGATATGATTGCTTAGATAACCAGTTATCTGAAAGGAGTGGTTTCATACTGTAATACAACAGAGGATAAATAAATCATCTTGGATGATTTATTGGATCTAATGAACTAAACTATTGGAAGTACATGACATTACATAAAAACTTCCAGAGCAAGGTGACCAAGAGGTGATCTTTCAGTATGTTTATTAGAAAAGTAAGTCTCTGTGGTGAAATCCTGGGAAGAAGATGCACAAACTTAACCTTTGTCTTGTCAAAGCACAGTGATTATAGAGATGTTGAGATGTTGCAGTCTCTCAACCTAGTACTTATTATTTTGTGTTGTCTTGGTCCCATATTAGCTAACTTCTGTGTGTTATTTAATATTTCGTGACTACTAGGTAAATTCTTTGGTATGTCCACACCTAGCTTTCCTAGCCAAATGCTGAGAATGTTGTCAGATATCATCTGAAGCCCATGATTGACTAACTTTCACTGATTTGCTCTTAATTTCTCTCTCTCTCTCTCTCTCTCTCTCTCTCTCTCTCTCTCTCTCTCTCTCTCCTTGAGCTTTTCTTGCTTAGGTTTATTCTTTTGCATCTATCCCCTCTCTCCATCAGGTGTTTTAATACTTATCTTCTCATCTATTTCATAAGAACAAAAGAGGCTAAATTTATAGCATCTTTCCGTGTGTCTATCTACCCATCCATTCATCCCACCTACCTATATTTTATTTTATTCCTGCATCAGTAAGTATCTCTCATATAACAGTCTCAAGCATTGTTTAAAAAACACATATTGATTGCATTTAAATTATTAAAAATTTCGAGTGTTGAGGTTCTGTGTTATGTGCATGAGAACGTAAAAGGGGTTTACAGTACACAATATTTACCTAAACTTGTCCTTAATTTAAAAAAAAAGAACAAGAAGAGACACATGTTAAGGAAAACAATGGAGGTAAAGTGATTAACTAGCTGTACTACTTCAGTCAAGCTATTTGTCTTCCCTATTCTTTTATTTACCACTTATATATGTTAAACTATTTGATTGAACATTCTTAAAGCTTTGATTTTCAAATTTAATGTGCAACTAAAAGTACATTAACGAAATGATTTTCCCCTATATTCTGTTCTAAAGAATTTGTTTCAGAAGCTTAGGGGTAGAATATAAAAATTCCTTTGGCCCTCTATAGTCTAACAGTGACATATGCACAGCTATGCTTGGGAATAATTAATTTAGTGACTTTTTAGTTTTTGACATCTTATTGCTTTGTAGTTGTAGAACAAGCTCTACCATAGGAAACATAGCAGCAGTAGTTGTATTAATGTACTCTTTTTAAGTCAAGAAATATTTTATGTCTAGCTAATAGCTCAAGGGTTGATGGAAAAGATGATGTTAAAACTGAAATTAAGACTCTTTGAGAGATGGGTAAAAAATGTTTGCTTGTTATTTAGTGCAATATAGTTATTTACCAGAATATACAGGGCACAGGAGGAGGAAAATTGCCTTTTTTTGATGCAGTGGATCATAGTACTAGTTTCGTTTTGCTCTGAAAGTTGTTTTTTGTAGATAAAATGTTTTGTTGCTTTAGTTTGCTGGAAATGTAGCATGTGGTCAGGTGGTGACAGGAATCACAAGGCTTCTTTGTGAAATAAAAAGACCCAACCTTCCTCAGGCCTCTAGGGGCTGTGCCCTTTGTGATCTCTTGGGTTAGTCCCCACTCGGACTTCTGGTTAGATACAAAAACTATCAGGATCATTCTATTATTTAAAATAATAGATTTTATTGCAGAATTATTATTATTAAACCAAGTTACCTTTTTTGTTTAGATGAAACCATATAAAAACAACATTCTGAGTAAATTATATAGCGTCCATTTGATGAAATAATGAGCCCAGTTGAGGGGAGGAAAGTAATGATCTAATGCAATATTTAGAATGGTGTTTAGTATGTAGTTATTAACCTAAAAGTCACATCCTGCATTCTTTTAATTTGTGAAAAATTTGTCACTAATTGCCCAAGAACCCCCTGATTTTTCATCGAAATCATCTCACTAGCTGGTGACTTTCTCCCCCTTTCTCATGTCTTAAATACAGCCTATAAGCATCAGATTACTCATTTTGTATGCCCTTTTTAAATATTGAACTGCTAAGTTTAGCTCCATTGCTCTCTTCTCAAAAATAGAATTCTTCCTCCATCCAACTTTGTCTTTGGGGCTACCATAAATCATAATTTTATTTTTAATGACAAGTGGCTTAAAATCTTATTTAACCTTTTCACCCACTGAGGAACCTGCTAATTCTGAAACTCTTTGGGATTAATTACTGATGTATAGAGGAAGGGATATTATCTTCCATTTAGAAGCAGTTTGAGAGATAAGTTTTGACCTGTAATTCAAATTCACTGTATTGGAGTCAGGGTCAGGCAAACAAGGCAAAAGAGTCAAAAATTGAAAGGGCTGGGTAGGTCAATCTATGTGAGTTCCACGCCCACCTGGTCTTCATACTGACCTCCAAGACATCCCTGAGCTATGTGGAGAGACCCCATCTGCCAACATACACATGCAAACACACACATACTTGAAGGAGAGAAAAAAGAAGATGATAAGAAATAAAGTATCCAGGTTGATATTTAGCCTTGGTCTAGCCCTTGCCTATGTCACTTTAGGGTTTGCAGTTTGCTTGTGATCATCTCTTGCTCTACTGCTCATACATCTTTGCTTATGCTATTATAGCAAGCATCTCTTGACTTTTATGTAAAAATAGATATAATAAACCTATGGTGATTATTTCTTACAGTATTTACTTTATGAATTTGAACTCTTGTTCTGTAATATCATCAGTGTCTTAGAGAATGACTCTCACTGGGATTTTTCTTTGAAAAATGCCTAGGATCTCAAAAGAGATATGTGAGGAGTATCTGTCATATAAAATTCAGACTTCAAAATATCCCCAAAATTCTGGAAAGAGGAATTATGAAAATGGATACTATTACATCCCTTTTGTCTTATTATTTGACAGCAAAGAGGAATAAGGTAAAGTACAGATGTTAATTGAAAACTTTGAGATCTTTTACCATTTTGCAAATTGTGTTCCTACTGTCTGGGTTACAGCATATATAATTCTAACAGTGAGATAATATCTGCCTATACATTAAGATGTAAAATATTTTATTTGATTTTGAAATATTTAAAACCTGTAAATTTAGCTAAAATAATAATAACTTTATAGAGCAGTATTTGGGAATCAAAGTTAAATTAGTGCACAACTATGGAAATTGGCAAAACTTAGAAACCATGAATCTGGAATTCCTACCAGGGCATTTTTACTATAAATGTTTTGGTTTTGTATTTTGAAAGACACAGAAGCGGGTCTGTGAAATAATCATTAGCACTAGGCAGCCCAAGCAGCCCTGGAGTGTTTCATGGTTCAAATGCTCAAGACCAGATGGAAGTCAAGTGAATGACTCAGAATTTATTAGTTTGCCACCTGTGTAGTACAGCCAAACCAGCTGCCACAAGGCATTTCCAATTTCAGCAGAGCAATAAATGAACACAAAATGAAAGTCAGTCTCCATAATAAAGGAAAATGACTGATAGAGCAACCAGATTGATACTTCTTGAGAGTACAGTTACCATACAGGCATAGAGCAAGAAATGGTTAAGGCCACCTTGCCCTGAAAAATCTCCACCTGGTTGCTTTAGAAGCCTCTCGGAGTTAGGGTGTGTTACAGTACAGGCTTGGAAGGTTACCAGTTACAACTTGATCTGAAAGGAAATTAAGCCAGCTATGTCATGAAGCCAGGTGGTTTTACCTTATAAAATATGTAAATATTGTTATCAACCTTCCATAGTCCTGATCTTCTGAAGGCTTAAGTATCCAGGAATCTAAGATCCCTAATGATGGTCATAGAAATCCCTGACATTATCCTCATGATTTCCTTATGTGGACTTGAAAGTTTATGGGTTATGCTCACGATGCCAGTACACAGCAGGACAAGGCAGGAGAATTCTGCGTTGAAGCTAGCTTGTCTATGAAGGTTTTCCTGAGTGGCCTGGATTATAGACTGAGGTTTTTGTATAATGTCTCAAGTCATAATAAATCAACCAAAATCAAAATAAGAGGCTTTTCAGGATCTGTTTAAAGACCACTAAGATTCAGAGAGTGATCTGAGGTTTCAGATGCCACTAAATAAATCTATGGCAATAAAGGGCAAAATGAACTTGATAATGAAGGTATGGGGATCAGACCATTGAGTATAGTAACTTTTTGTAAAAGAGGAATACCTATTACTTTTTTTAACTTTCTTTTTATTTATTTATTCTTTGTGTCTTTCACATCATACCTCAATCTTATTCATTTCCTGTCCATGCATATCTAGCCTCTGCCCTTCCATCCCCCCATAAAGTTTAAGAGAAAAGATAAAAAGGGAGGGGGTTATCTTGTCATGGAAGCTGTAGTGTGGCAGAGTGAGTCATGCAGTAAACCTTTTTGTCCATATATCGTTATTTGGAGAGTGTCCATTGCCAAGAGTCATTGATCTGGTTTGAGATCTCTGTTATCTGCTACACTATCAATTCTTGGCCCTCATGGATCTCCTCTTGGTTCCTGCTGTTGCCCTTGTAGTGGAAATCCTGCAGCTTGTTCCACAGGACTTTTTCCTTTACATGCTCCAGCAGGTCTCAGGTTGGGTGGATATTGGGGTGATCAGGGTTGTCAGCCCACCAGCTCTCCTGGTCCTCACCACCAGAGTGAGCCTCGTATGGTGCCTTGGCTCAGTTCACCCTTTCCTGCAATGGGCAAGGGATGGGGCTGGCTCTCCTGCTTTCATGTCCCACAGGATCAGATCCTCCCACACCTACACCTTCAGGGTCACCTCTACTGTGTTGCCCAGGCTAGGTGTAGGGACGTCTTTCTGAGTGCTGCAGCAGATGAGGAGGCAGGGCTAGTTCCCCCACTCATGACTTCAGGGCCAGCTTTCCCATCTGCCTCAGGCCTTGATTGGGGGCATGTTTCTCCCTGTCCATGAAACCACACGCAGGTGAATAGTGGGGACAGCTCTTCCATGCTCACAGTATCGGGGCTGGCTCACATACACCTCTATCATTGGGATTATATCTATGTGCCATGGATGGGAGGTGCAGGGGCCTGCTCTCACTTGTTACAGCTGATGGTGGGCAGGGGCAGCTCTCCTGCCATTCTGACCTCAAGACCAGCTTTCCCATCTGTTTCAGACATTGATGAGTGGGAGGAAAGGGGAGGAAGGTTTATTAATAGAATTTTAAAAAATATCTTGTTTTTCCATATCAAAAAAAAAAAATCCTGGGGCATTATTTTTGAAAAACAACTAAACTGGATGAATAAAAGCTTGGCATTCTCTTTTTATATGTGGAAAACTTTCTTTTTATATGTGGAAAACTCAGAGCTGAAGATCCTTGCTTTGGTTCACTGGTTTATTGATGATGCAAGATTTTCAGTAGTACCGTGATGAAAAGAATAAGGGCATAGCCCCAGAAAAATTTCATATAGTATTTCTTAACATTCACCCTACCCCCCATGGCCTAGACCAAACTGCTCTTGGCATGGCTGACATCTGCCTTCACATGGCTTTTTTCAGGAGATGATTTTTTTTTTGTGTTAACATTTCTAAACTGACTCAATTCTTAGTACTCTCTTATAAGTTCTCTGTTTGTATGAAGAGAATACTGACATGTGTTTATTCTCACTGAATTTGGGTCTTTCCCTCTCTATGATGACAAAGTGAAATAACTTTATATTATAATATTTTATTAATGATTACAGTTGAACTAACTCCCTTGCTTCCTATTTTTCTTCTGGCAGGTGGCGTGTTTGACCCAAGTAGCTGCTAATTATCTTATTAGCCAAAGGAAGCAAAACGATGGGGGCACAGCTCATGGCAGCATTGTTCCTTATGCGGGTTCATTTTCGCCTTAATTACTAGAATCACAGATCTGTACACCTATGACTCTGAGAATTGTTTTTTACAAACCCTCCAGGGTTGTTCGATAACATGTCTCTGTCTTATAGCAGGTTCTGTTCTCGTTTCATTTTTTCATATTTATTCCCTAGACGATTTGTAGAAGAAACTTAAGTAGATCAAAGGAACACTGTAAATGGTACTTTGGAGTTTATAGTACGATGGTTTCTTCATTTCTTTCTTTTTCTTTCAACCAAAGCTTCTGTTATACCTTTTGACTGTAGCTGCTTATAAAGCATGGTGTGTTGCTCTAAAACAAATGTTACCTTCTCCATCTGACAATAATATTCTCAGGGGTTAGAGTGAAGTGAAAATGTGCGTGTGATGGATCTTCATCCTTGTAGAAAAACAGATCTTTGAGCTGCTGTTCTTTATTAAGTCTCCAAACTTAACCTCAGGAATTCTGGACTTTGGCTAGTGCAAATGAATATGTGAAGAAACAATGATCCTTCAAAAATAACAAAAACTTTACTAACTCTTCCAAGCCACTAGCCTTAGCCTAGTTGCATATTTCTTTGCATTTCCTTTTATTTGTCAAACTTCCCCATGTCCTACATCATGAGTTCAAGAGTAGTGGTGTCTTTCTCATTTCTTCTCTAATATCCAGTAGAACTATAGGCATTACCCTGGAAGTTTCTGCTGAGTAAAGAGTGGATTTTGCTCTAGCTGTTTCAGCATGTGTATTCTGTGACAGGAAACAGAAAACATAGATTTTTTTTTTTTTTTTTTGGCTGGGAAATCCATCAGCACTTCCAGTCATCCTTTCAATGTTAAGAGATTATTTCCATGGGCAGGTCTAGTTTCATTTCCATTTTATTTTAAATGCAAATCTGAGGAATGTATAATCCAGCTTGAGCCCAGCATGCAGCCTTCTCTTGTTCTGTTTATGGCCATTGTATACACGAGACTTTGCTGTGATTTCCTGGTATAGTTGCTTTTCTCATATTGAGTTACCTTATGGGATACTTACAAGTTTTGAGTATATCTTCCGTGCCTCCCTTTTTGTTTGTTTGTTTTTTTCTACCTAGTGGATTCTTGACTACTTTAGGGACATCTGCTTCCCTAACTAAGATTTTCTTGTGGTGGTTCTAGACATCTAGCTAGACCTTCCTCCCTTGATTCATAAAGTTGTATTTTTAAACTGGGTAGAAATAGGAAGGTTGAGCCTTCTTATTTTCCAGATTTAAAAAAAAATCTCACACCTAGTTTGAATGGGGAGCTTCCAACAGTAATCACTTTGTAATATTTTTAGACATTTCAGTTATTTATCAATGATAAGTGTGCTGTTGTTTCAGGACCCTTCAACTCTTTTCACTATTTCTTCTCATCAGTTTGCCCTTAGATCAGAGGTATGGCTAAGTGATTCATTCATTATGATTGATGGTGAAAATTATCAATATTTTTTGCCTAGTACAGTGTTAGAATTTATATGAACTCATCTCAAATAATGGAAATTCAGATTTCAGCTTTTGATGCATGTGGAGAAAGCAGCCTTTCCTGATTGGAAAGCTATGTAGAAAAACTCTAAGTCACCTTACAAAATATAAAGTTTCTTTTTCCTTTTCTTTTTGGTAAAAATAGAATATCACTTTAAAGCTTTCTAGAGCCCATAACTGTCTCTCTGGGCATCATACCTAGAATACTGGCATCTGAATAAGCTCTTAATTATTTTTACCATGAGAGGTAAAGGAATTCAGAATCTTTGGCCTTTGTTTTGGTTACATGTATAAAGACATGTCTCTCCCTCTCTAGTTCTCTCTGTGATTTTATTGAAGAATAGATTTGTACTTTGTTATTGAGTCACAGTTGATTGTAAGAAATGATATCTCCAGTTTTTCTTAGGAGCATAAATTAATGTGCCTCTTCTTTGTAGGGAACTGGTTCAGCACAATGATTAAGATAAATGAAAATTTAACTTTAAAGAAACTAATATAACAAGATGGGTCCCTAGAGATGCTTCAAGATTTTTGTCTCTTCACAATTTTTGAATAGACTCAATAAATATTATTTTTATGTGAATTCCAAGGTAATTATAAGTAAGTTTCCTAGGATAATTACAGTTTTTGCTTCTTTATTTATTTCTTATTTTATATATCAATCCGAGTTCCCCTCTCCCTCCCATCATCTTATGCTCTCCATCACCCTCCCCTGTCCCATTCCCCACCCACTCATCAAAAATCTGTCAAGTCTGTTTGGAGTGAGGGACTAGGCCCTCCCCATGTGTCCCTTTGTGCACTAGAAATACATCCTGGTTCCACAGCCAGAGGCCACATAGACTACCAACCTCCTAGCTAACACCCACATTCAGGGTGCCTGGTTGGTTCTCCAGCTTTCAGACTGGTGTCCATGAGTTCCTTTTGTGCATTTGGCTGTTTCTGAGGTTTTCCCAGTATGGTCTTGATCCCTTTGTTCATCATTCCCTTCCTTTCTGAAACTGGGTTCTCAGGTTTGGCTCAGTGCTTAGCTGTGGATCTCTGATTCTGCTTCCATCAGCTACTGGATGAAGGCTCTAGCATGACATTTAAGGTAGTCATCATTCTCATGGTGGGGAAAGGGCAATTAAGTTACCCTCTCTATTTTTGCTTAGATTCCTATTGGGGTCATCTTTGTGGATCACTGTACAATTCCCTAGTGGCAGATTTCCTCTTTAAATCTATAATGGCTTCCTCTATTGATGTGTCTCTTTTCTTGCTAGCTTCTATTCATTCCCCATTCAATCTTCCTCATATTGATTAATGAATAAAGCACTGTTGCTAAAGGGGAAGCAAAATAGGCGGAGCTAGGAGACTTGGAGGAGAGAGGAAGAAGTAGGGAGGAATCCAAGATGTAGAACTTGAGAGAACAGAGGCCCGGGCCCTCTCTCCAGTAAGATGAGACCAGGTAGAATTACTTAGATTAATAGAAATGGCTTAATATTTAAGACAGAGTTAGCCAATAAGAAACTGGCCTACAGCTTTATATAAAATACAACATATCTGTGTGTTATTTGGGGCTGTCATGATGGTGGGACCAGGCTTCCAGAAAAACTACTCATAACAAAATCTACTCTTTTGTGTCTAAAATAAAAAGAGGGTTTTAACCTTAACATTGCAAAATGATGGGAGATGTCATTCTGTATATGTTTCTCATACTGGTTAATGAATAAAGCACTGTTGGCCACTAGGAAAGCAAGACAGGCAGGACTAGGGGACAAGGAGGAAAGAGGAAGTAGTAAGGAGGAGTCAAGATGAAGAGTCTGGAGAGAACAGAACCACCATTTCTCCGCTCTCGGTAAGACCACGTGGAAATACATAGAAATGGGTTAATACTTAAGACATAGCTAGCCAATAAGAAACAAGTAACTGGCCAACAGCATAATATCAAATACAGAGTCTCAGTGTGTTATTTGGGGCTGGTGCGGTGGAGGGACAAGACCAGTGGCAGGCGGAAAAACCTTACTCCTTACAGCAAAATATATAACAAAACAGTTATCAAATAAGAACCACAGTTAACAATATTTAGTCCAATAACATTTAGTAATATTTAAAGAAAATATTCAATCATTTATCCTATATTTTTGTGAGTCTAAAGTCCTATATGTAACTTATCTTTAATCCTAAGGAAAAGTATAACCATATGTATTTGTCTTCAACTCCCTCAAAGACCATAGAAGGATAATATATAAACTCTAGAAATGACAGAGACAACTTGCCTGCTCAGTCACTGGAAGTTCTTCTGTAATGTTCCTTTTCCGCCTATAGGCCATAGTGTGTCTGGCAGACTCCTCAGCAAAGCAGGAAAGTTTAAACTGTACACCCTTATTGGCAGTTTTTCAGTATTTTCTCTGTGATCTGTAGACTGTCTGGCAGACTCTTCCATGAAGCAGGAACCCCACAGCAATGTCCATCTTGTATCAGCAGTCACTTTCCTGTGGGTCCCCATGTTCAGTTTATACAGCATAAAGTCAAACATACAGAGAAGAGCAGTATCTTGCCCAAATGGCTAGTTTTGCCATATTGGAAATAAACTCCATAACGTGTTTCTTTGATGCCCATCTTCCTTTCTGATGCAGGTAGTGTTTCCAGGAGCAGTTGTGCCTCATTGTTAAGAAAAACCCTAAATGATTTTAAATGCCATATCCTGTAGGTCTTTGAAAGATTTAAGAATGCCTGTTCATCTCAAATGCATCTCTATATATTTAGAAATCTAACTAACTTAACTCTAAATTTTGACTATCATAGGTAATTATCTATAATCTGTACTAATTTATACATTACATTTCTAAATGAGCTATATAAACACAATACCTAAACAAGAGAAGAAATATTATATATATATATATATATATATATATATATATATATCACAAAATTGACCTTAAATTGTATCAATACATGAAAATCCATTTTAAAACAAAGTATTCATTTCTATAACAGAATCCCGTTTTTAACTTTAAAAAAAGATTGGTTGTGATCATTAACCATTTATAACCAACTCCATTTAAATGAAAACAAACATTTATAACAGTATTTGGGAATTTTGGCATCATTCTTTCCAAAATGCTTCCTGCTGGTAGGGGTTACTGTCATGGGATCCTGAGAAGTGCAGAAATCCTGGCTGTAGTGATCTGCAGGGCTGCCTTGTTCCATGGATTGGCCCTTCAGGGGTTTCTTAGCTTGCCAAACCATGTTAGTCTGGAAAGGAATCCACAGCTTTTCTATTTTCTGTGGAAATAAAAAAAATAGAAATCCTTTCCCCCAATAACTTGTCCTTAGACTTAATTTTGGAGTCAAAACATTTTTAAAATATATAAATTGGATTAATTTCTCAGCATTGATAATCAGTGTACTTCCTTGTGGTGGGCAATTTAAAGTCAACACCTTGTATATAGTATCCAGAATCTTTTGTGCTTTCCATATTTATGTGGCTTTTTATTACTCTATTTCTTCTACTTCTATTTTTTCATTTTTTGGGACAGGGTTTCTCTGTTGCTCAACTTTTATATGTCCTGGAATTATATCTGTATGCAGGTTACCTTGAAATCACAGAGATCTGCTTGTGTCTGTCTCCCAAG